AAAAAAAAGAAAAAAAGAAAAAGCTTGCAAGTGGCCATCTAGACACAATGATGGGTCTCTTCTCATCCAGAGCAAAGAAGAGTAAAGAAAACAAAAACTCATGGAAGCAATTAGTCCAAGCAAGTGGTACACCAGGCAATCCTCAGCCTATAAGACTATGAGACCAGAAGGACTAGATGGTGCACCACTACCACTGTCAACCACTTGGAGGGGGATCTATGGAGGAGACCCTGGCTAGAGTAGGAGAAAAATGTGGAACAAAACTCAAAATAAAAAAAATAAAAATAAAGGACCAGGTTTGATGGTCTGATAGAGCCTGATAGAACGACTGAGACTATGGCCCTTACCTGTCCTTCAGGTCTGGAATTGAACCCACATCCTGTGGCTTCCAGCCAAACAAAAGACAGACATAAGAGCTGAATATTTACATTAGGTAGATATTCTCCTTGGAGAGATTAATCATGGGTGAAGAGAAGGGTGGCGTATGCACAGGGAGATAGCTCTGGGGGCAAGAGTGCATAGAGGGAAGACAGGGAAGAGGTAACTATGGGGAAGAAGTGGGAAGGGAGCTGTTGCATTGTGGGAAACTATAGTCAATGTCATGAGACAGTATATGTGAGCTGCTGTATGCAAAGTAATTTTCTCTGTAAACTTTCACCAAAACCACAATAAAAATTTTTTATAAAAACCCATATTATGGGGGAGGGGGTGGAGGTAAAAATGGAAATTTCCAACAGAGTTCTTTTCAAGTTTCCCAGTGCACTTCAACAATATATTGTATAAATACAGCATTTTCTAAGCACTGAAAATGCTTTAAAAATCCCATAGGCTGGGCTTTATGACTGTTATGTGATTATGAGTCAATTCTGACTCATAGCAACTCTTCCTACAGGACAGAGCAGAACAGCCCCACAAGGTCTCCTAGGCTGCAATCTTTATGGGAGCAGGTTGCCAGGTCTCTTCTTCCACAGAGCTGCTGCAAACCACTGACCATTCAGTTAGCTTCTGCATGCTGAATCACTGTGCCACCACTACCCAACACAATAAACTACATTCTGAGACTTGTTGTTGTTGTTGTGTGCCGTCGAGTCGGCCCCGACTCATAGCGACCCCTCCTTGGGTTTCCGAGGCAGTATCACTACAGAAGTAGGATTGCCCAACCTTAGGAACATACATATCCATGCATTCAAAACAACCACTCACTGCCATCACCTTGATTCCAACTCACAGCGACCTCTACTGGGTTTCCAAGGCTGTAAATCTTTATGGAAGCAGATGGCCTCATCTTTCTTCCATGGAACTGCTGCTGGGTTCAAACCACCAACCTTTTGGTTAGTAGCCAAATGCCTTAACCAGTACACCAGCAATGCTCTCTTAGCGTGTTAGCACATGTCATTATAACTGCATGAACTTTTGCATGGCTTCATCTTCCAAATTTATGCTAGTCTAGCATCTTCCAGGTTTTTTAATAATCTAAAAATTGTCAACTCCAAATAATTCCCAGTGGGTTAATAATCATGCTGTGACTTACACTGTACTTTGAGTTTCTCAAAAAGAAAGGCAATGGCAAGGAAAGGTTTACACACAGAAAAAACCATTCTCTGAAAGTTACAAGAGGTGGCAGGGGGAGTGAGGGTAAATCACTACCTAGACGGTAGACACTTATCATCTTGGGTGAAAGGAATGGTAATATACAGTAAGGCAGAAGTCAGCACAAAATGCTCAAGGCAGAGGGAGACACAGGGAGGGACACAAGAGTTAAAGGCAGCAAAGGTGAGTACTATTACATACACAATCCAGCAAGAACAGTAATGACAACTGAGGAGCAGATACATAAGACACATGCAGTTGAACAGGGGTGGAAAGGAAACCAGGAATACATAGATATTTGACAGAGGACATCCTACCTATGTATTTATATATACTGGGGGATAAAAAAACAATAACATATTTATGAACTAAATAAAAGTATAGAAATCATTAGCACAGTGCGTAAGGCATTTGATTGCTAACCAGAAGGCTGGCGGTTCAA